CGGGTGCGCTCCGGAGGGCGGCGTTTCGGTATTGTTCTTTGGAAACTGCTCCCAGAAGGAAGAGGGGCCCGCGGACGGGCGGGCGAGGGGGCAGGTGGGCGCCGCCGCTCGGGGCCCTGCCCGCTCTCCTTGGCCGGAGTGGTGGGGCTGCGATAAAGCCGGCCGCCCGGGCAGTCCGGCTTGGGCCGTGGGCTTGCCCCGGAGCGGCCCCCCTCGCCGTGGTGGTTTGAGTGGAGCTCCGGGGAGCGTTTTGCTGCGGGGCCTGGTGGGCGCTTCCAGAAGCGCCACGTGTCCTGCTCAGCTAGAAATCTTTGTAAGAGACCAGCAGGTATTCAAGCCCAAGCTCTACCAGTTTCCTTTTTAAAAACAGCATTTAGAGCCGTGCAGGTAAGAGGAAACGTTCTCACCATTTAAGACAAAAAGTGGAAATAATCTTCTGTAGGTCTTTCAACCCAAACCTGCCAGTGGTATATGAATCTTGGCTCACTCTGTAGCTGGAATTAAAGGCTCAACAAGGGGATATCAAAAACCTGGAGGAGCTGTTGCTGTTGAACTTTTCATGTGTCTCAGTTGAAGGTGGTATTAGTTGGACATCTGCTTTACAGCATGCTTGCTTGACTGAGGTGCTGATTTTTGAATATACCAAACACATTCAGCTTGCTGAAACTTGGTCTCAGGACTTTAAATTAAGAGCCCTCAAAGAGCTTATTGTACGTTCTTTAGAAATGACAGGGTGAGACTGCTTCATCATGTCCCTCTCCCCCTTTTAGTGTTCTGCGTAGGTCAAAAGTTAATTACAAGTGTCTGTCGAATGTGAGAAGCAGTTTTCCTAGGGCTGCCTGTTCTGCTGCTTCCTGCTATGCTTTAGAGCAGTTACTCGAGGATTTATATTTGGTGGTAAAAATCGCTAATTATATGAAACAATTTATCGTGAAGAGATAAGTTAGTTTGGGTATACTGGTATATCAAACTGATTGTGTCAGTATTTTTAGGAAAAAAAAGTTGAGTGACTTATCAGCTAGTGTACGTGTCTTGGAAGAGGCCAGGCTTAAATTTCACCAAAGAAAAAGGCAACCAATACTGTTCCGTGAACAATGGTTGGTTTTGTTAGACTGGTTCGTTCCCCTTCTCTCTCTTTCTTCTCCTAAATAGGGCAAAAGTATTTGTCGCTGACTCTTATTTCTTTCCAGGTGCTAGTGAACACTGCCTGCTGTTTTCTGATGCTGGTTGCTAAGCTATTCCAGTATATGGTATTTGGCCCTCTTCGTGTCAGTGAGAGACAGGTAAGACAGCAGTGCGTTGCCCTGGGTATTGTTTCATATTTCTTGGTGCACGACTGTGTTGTTTTCTGTATGGAATTGCTGAAAGTACGCAAGAAAAGTAAATTTTAGAGCAGCATAAACTTAAATCTTACCCTTTGGTTAGCTAGTATATCCACAGCCACAAGCTTCCAGTTTATTTCAGAAGGAAACTTTCTTTTTTCACTGTTCCGATTGTATTTTATGAGCCCATGGTCAACCTGAAAGTCCTGCTTCCTTAATGAACTTTGTCAGATTTCTTACAAGTGCACCTCATTTCAGAATACTATTAACGTGTTCTTCTCTATTCAGTTTGTGCTTGGCAGCATTTCTTCACGGTGTTTCATAGTTAGTTATCAACACTGGCAGTCTGAGTTTCTCTTGTACTTTGTTTTGTGCCTTGACTGCTGGAGAAGTGCTTTCCAGTGTCATATGCTGCGTGGATGGTTTCTCTACCCTCGGGTTTAAGAGGGGATAGGCTGACATATGCCCAGAGAAAGGAGGTAAGCAGGGCTGAAAACTCAGGCTGTTTACTTCTGCTCCTAGGCTAGGTGAGAATGTTTTTAAAAATTCAGCAATGGGACCATTAAAGCCAGGCTTTTTAAAAACAGGGTCCTGCAGAAGATAAAAGCAGCAGCAGTAGTTTGAGTAGTTTCTCTGTGTAAATGCAGTAGCAGTGGTTTGAAGTGTGCTCACTTATTTAAATAAAGAGCATGTAAATGCAGTTCTTCAGGAGAAATTGGTCCATGATGATTTTTGACATTAAGAACTGAGGCACACAAAGCTTTGTTAATAACCATGGATCTCTCAAAGCCCCTTGTATTTGTGATTCGCACCCTGTAGAGCCTCCACGTGAAGTGTATTAGAAACAAGCTACTATCAAACCGCATTGGGCCAGATTTTCTTGCTGGTCCATGTTGACTATGTTGAGGTTTGAACTCAGCGGGCAGCCAGATGCCAGGTGGCCGGCTGTTCACCCCCCTCCTCGGTGAAATAGGGGAGGGATGAAACTAAGAGAATTTGTAAGTGAATATAAAAAAGAATTTACTAAATATAACAAGAGAACAACAGTAACAATAGTGAGTCTAAAAAGAAATGGGTAAAACGCAGCAGGGGCTTATCTAAGGGAAAATTGAGAGCCCACCCACACCTGTTTCTGGGCATGACATCAAGTTAACTCCATTGTGGTCGAAACCAGGACAGACTATAAGGATGTGGAATTTTAACCAGTGATAATTTCCAGGATGTTCTCTACCCTCTTAAAAACTGAAGTGAAAAGCAGTAACAGTGTGGATCCATTTGTGTTTGGACAGGGGGAGTTTGCTTCAGTTCTCGTGTAAAGGAAAGCTGGTTGTTAGTGCTGACGAGCCAAAAATGGCAGCATCGTGAAGGAATTCTGGGCCTGTCTTAACTGAACTCCTGGTGATTTCATCATGTTCTTTAACAAAACATTTTATTTAATGAAGTTTTTTTATCTCCAACAAGCTGGCTTGCTATCTGCTGCTTGAGACCATCATATAATTTCTTTCATACTGCATGTGCGTGGGAATAATTCCTTTTTTCATGGCTCATCTATCTCATTCTCCACTGTAGGCATTGTGCTTTTTAAGAACAGACTGTCATCTTTTCATAATCATCTGTAATTTTTGACAGGTTTTTGGAAGCAAGGTGCTAGGCTATTTGGGCATCTTGTATAACTAACCGTGGCAGTTCTTCTAGCAAAGACGACTTTGTTTGTGGCCCAATAGCTGTGTTGCCTGGGAGTGGAGAATCCAACTGAGCTCAAGCTTCACTTGTGCTAAGCAGTTTTAGAAGTATGTCAGGAAGCTACATTGTGCACTGTGTTGTGCAGTTATGCTGGAGTGGTACAAAACACTAGATAGATACTAAGGACCACTAATATTTCTCATGTTTTTAATTCAGTAAGGGTAGCAAATACTATTCAAGATGTGTATGCAGCAGGCTTTTGCTAATCTACTGTAGCATTTCTACTTCCATCTTTTTTTTCTTTCTCTTTATCCCTCTTGCTTTCCCCCTGCACGTGGATTGTCAGTGCTTTCACTACAGTAACCGTATGTCTTCCGTTACAGCATCTCAAGGATAAATTCTGGAATTTCATCTTCTACAAGTTCATCTTCATTTTTGGTGTGCTGAATGTTCAGACGGTGGAAGAAGTGGTGATGTGGTGCCTCTGGTTCTCTGGACTTGTGTTTCTTCATCTTATGGTTCAGCTCTGCAAGGATCGCTTTGAATATGTAAGTTTTGATTAAGAGCTGTCCTTTGGGACATGCAACTTCTGTTTCTGGTTTGGGCACAGGCTCATGACAGGTTACAAACAGATCACTTAAGACTTTTTTTCCCACCCTGAGGTGCTGAACATGTGCACCTCCCAGTAGCTTCAAGTACTTGCTTTAAAGTACAGTGTCAGTCTTACTCCTTCAGTTTTCCCATGAGACAAATGGAGCTGAGGATGCTTAATTTGCTTTGATAAATTGCTCCTTGTATGTGCCCTGTAATTACTATTACATAACTCTATGAGATGTCTTCATAGTTCTCCTTAGTAAAGAAATCTTCGTAACAGAACATCCCTTAGCTTGGTGCCGTTTAGGATCGGTCCATGAAGCCTGTTTCTGCAGATTCTGTCCCCAGGTTTCAAGGTCATTTACATCTACCAAATGCTGATTGCCAATGTCTTTACAATAAACATTGCAAGTTTCTCTGTAAGCTATATCCCAGTTCCTGTTAATACCAAGAATAAATTCAGCAGAGGTGCAGAAATTGAAGGGTAGGCAAGGAAGAAAGAACTGGAATTGGAACAGTAAATCTTGCCTTCTGAACATCTATAATGCACATGCTTTTTCCTCAGCTCCGCTGTCCTGGAATAAAAGTTTGAACTAAATTGAATCCGTGAATTTCCTTTTGGTAGCTCTGTGCTTTGCAATTTTATTTTTTTTAATTAATATCCAATTAGGTCTGTTAATTCACAAGTAGCTAAGCACTAAGCTTGAAACCATGTTGCTTGGGGTTAGGAAAATTGAAGCAGAAGTGAACAAAGCAGTCATCTAGTATTTTTAGCGTTGTTCAGAAAGCTGTGAAAGAACAAAGCTCATGTGGGAAGAAATCCTTATATTCCTTCTGCATTCAAAGCATGCATCGTAATTCTTAACTGGGACAAACTGTACTTGTGTGATCTGCTTTGCAAACTCTGGGGGATGTGGAACTGGACCAGATACAAGCAAGGAAGAAAGAAACAATTTAAAAACAAAACATGGGAGTCAACTTCATCAATCAGACCAGAGTGAAGCTTTGAGCAACTACATCTTTCCTTGTCCTGTTCTTTCCCTTTCTGCCCTGAAAGTAGGGGGATGGACCACCTAAATACTTTGCCTCTTGGATCGTCTTTGATTTAGCCTAGGTGTAGCCTACCATTAGGGTAGTTGAGAGGATTAATATGCTATGCATGTTATTGAGTGAGACAGCTACTTTCAGAAGGCTCTCCCCAGCAGTCTCTAGCTGCAAGTTAAATTTTGGAGGGAGATGTTTCTTTCTTCCAGGAGAAAATGACATTGGAAGAACCAGAGGCTGGAAGATAAAATTGAACAAATTCATATCAGCTGTAAGATGAAAGATTGGCAGAATGATTACTGTCATTGCTCAAAGACTGTGTATTAATGTTAGGTGTCTTCTAAAACGTGTGTTCATCTGAAGCAGACACTGTGGATTTGATGCAGAAACGACATGTGTGAGAAATGTGTACATGGTTTTCTTGCAGAGGTGACCTAAACATTAGATCAAAGAAACGTAATGATGAGCCCTGTTGGCTTTAAAAGCCTGGTGAATGTAAATGACAGCGAGACAAATGAAACTTTGGGATGGTGTGTGATTTTAGCTTTATTCTGCATCATTTATTACTACATTGTGTGGTTGAGGTCGTGACATTGGTTTTATTCTAGAAAGCAAAAGATTTTCCTATACGAAGACTTGTTTGGTGAGGTGGCTGTGGAAGGCAGGGTGGCTGATTTTAACCTGTTGTATATTTATGTATTTGTGTTGCAGCTTTCCTTTTCTCCTACCACACCCATGAGCAGCCACATCAGAGTGCTCACCCTGCTCATAGTCATGCTCCTCTTCTGCTGTGGATTAGCAATCATCTGTGGTATTATTGGCTACACTCATGGCATGCACACCTTGGCTTTCATGGCAGCAGAGGTGAGACTTCTTTCATACCTGTCGTGGTTTCTGCTTTGCTTTTCACCCCTCACTTGGGGGTATCTTGGCACGCGGTGGGTTTTCTTTTAGTTGCCCACAACAAAGAAACTCCGAAGATGCAAGCAAGACCTCCGCTGTTTTAGAGTACTTGCGAGATCTGCAAGCTTTAGGGTTGAAGATCTGCATGCTTTTTTAGATTTTAAGCCTGCAAAAAAAAAATCTTTGTTGAAAGAGGAGAATGAGAGAACAAATCTGTAAAATGATGCTGAAATCAAATGACAGCCTATGAAAAAATAATGGTTGTGCTTCATGAGCATTGCAAGAAGGGTGAGTGTAAGTGGCCCCTAGAGAGAGGGAGAGAATGTATATGGAAGTGTAATGTGCACCTTGGCCTGTTTCTTTGAGGTTGCATTTTCTATTTCATTTCTCCCCAAAAGGAATGAGACTAACATCCTTTCCTTAAGGCATGCTCAAGGGATTTGCTTATGTCTGTGTAAAGAGTTGTGTCTCAGCTGGGATGAGCAACACATGTTTGTGCGCTCCTGAACCCTTTGCAAGCATGGAGTAAACATCAGTATGTTTGTGGAGTGAACATCAGTATGTTTTTGATGTTATGGTGGGTTGTTATGCTCTACCTGAGGAAGTGCTACTCTTTACCTCCTCTTTATTTAAAATTATAATTGCAAGTAAGTTGTATTAGCACATCCTTAGTTCAGATAATAAATAGCATGTATGGTTTATTTTTCTTCTCCTGTCGTGAATTCATAGCTGGAATTAGTGAGAAGGAAAGAAAACAGACTGCTGACAGTAGGAGAATAGGATGTTGGTCTCCTATCACAGCAGTTATTTAACACGTCAGTTTACTTTTCCCTAAATATGAGAATGTGTGAGGCCAGATTTGTAATTGCACTGTGGAAGGGTATAGAATATTTATCAGTGTCTCTAATAGGTGGGGTCTCCTCGATGTTGTGTCTCTTATCTTGGCTCGGCAGAAGGGTGTATCAGCCTTGTACCAGCATGGGGTGGGTTTATCAAGGAGCATTACAGTGCTGAAGTGTTGCGTTGTTAGCACTGCGCCGTGTGCTGGTGTGTGTGGTTTGGGTGGCAGGATGGGGCCCAGCTATTCATTTCAGTGGGAGCTGTTCTGTCTGCTTATTAACAAAGGAATGGCTCAGTCAGCTAAGTGTACAGTCCTCAGCCAAGCCGTGGATCCCGGCAGCCTGCTGTGCTGCTGGTGGACAGCAGAGGAGGTGTGGGGAGTGTATAGGAGAGGGGCTCCTACCCTTACTGGGAGCTGCTGGCGTTTGAGGACGTTCCTGAGCTGAGGGTTGCACAAGCCTGTTGGGTTTGATAGCTTCAGGTGGACTCTGGAAAGTTGTCTGATCATGTATTGAACTCATTTATACTTTGGCCTCTGCAATATCCAAAGAGAACAGATTCCACATTTAACTCTGCTTTGTGTACACAAAAGAGCCTTTGTTCTGAAGCTTCTGTCTGATAATGTCCCTGGCTATCATCTAATACATTTGTAGTGAAAACCAGCAAAGAATCATTCCCTGTTTACTCTTCTTCATACCATTTGTGATTTTAATAGACCTTTCTCCTGTTCCACTTCTAATTTTCCTTCCAAGCAAAACAGTTCTACTCTGTAATTTTTCCTCATATGCAGTTGTCTAGTATCTTGCCCTTTCATGAATGTTTTAAATATGCTCTGTATGGATTAGGTGACCATGAGTAGTTTCCTTGATTTTAATACCCAGCACTCATGTAAATAGAATAAAACATTTAGGTTTCTTTCTGTACAGGTACAAGCAGTGACACCTCGTGGCAGTCTTCAAGCTCTCAGCAAAAAGCATTAAATCTTGCATACTAAATTCTTTTCCTGGTGGTGGCTTTTGTGATGCTCTTCAAGAGGGGCCCTGCCAAGTGTATTCCATTAGTGTGTATTTAATTACATTAAGTTACATTAAGCTATTCATCTCTCGCCCGACTCTGCAGACATTGATTTAGCTTGACGCCTCAGGGTTTTCAGGAAAGCAAAATAGATGTTTTTCTTGGGTTTTAGTTAGGCTTCCACTTGTTCTGTGTTGTCTGTCAGCATTTTCTTTCCTGCAAAGGATGGTTGTGAAATGTGCAAACGGCCAGAGAAAGTTGAATGGCAGTCTGTATTTTTGAGTAAACGTTAAGCTTTTTTTGCCTTAATAGATGGTATTTGAGAATTGCACTACAGCAAGTAATGTCCAGTCTGTCTATCTTCACACCTTTTTTATTGTAAGAAAGAATTACTCCATTCCTCTAGCATCCATCCTCTGATCCTGTTTCATACATCTCAGTTAAAGCCATATAATGGTAGTGATACTCAAATCTTAGAATTGTATCTTACAGATAATAGTATATTTTCCTGTATAGCTTCTCATACCGCATCTCTTATCTTGGGGTTTGAGCGCCTTCTAGTCATGTGCTAATCTAATCTACGTGACCGGTATCTGTCAGTATCATAGAGTCTGTGGGGGATAAGCAGTTTGTTTCGAGCAGACCAAGAACTCTCAAGGTGTCAGTACTGAAAATGGCCTGCTGTACATTTAGAACCTCAGATTATGGAGTTGTGTAACTTGTGATGTAGTGTTGCACTTTCTGCAAAGTATCTCTCATGTCAGGACGCTGAAATGTGTTTCTGGAAACAGTAGAGGAACCAGAGGCCACTACCTTGACCGAATCTGCACTAGCTCGTCCTTTTAATTTGATATTCTCGCTGCCTCAGCACTCAGTATAAAGCATGTCATGGCAGCATTAACTTCCTAAAAGTTGCAAAGACTAGACTCTTCAGACTTCCACCTGACAGATGCCTTCCTTCTTGGAGACTTTATGGCACATGTACTGGTTTTGATACAGTTTTTTGCTCAATGGCATATCCATCCAGCATCTGTTTTTTGCATGGTGAGAATTTGAATGTATTTAATTTTCCTCTGTGCTCTGCCCCAAGTTTTTCTCTAGCCAAAAACCTCATGTGAACAAGGTGTAGGCTCTTTCTGGTACCAACATGCGGGATAACAAGAGACAGAAGAGGGTCTCATAGCATGCCTTGCAGGAGCAGCCAGTGTGCTAATTTAACATTTTTACGAAAGATGTTTCTGATGAGAACAGCACACTGTGCTAGGTGACTTGCTGTTAATTTGTTGACTTTTTTAGGTGTTACTTGGATGATGCGTGCATCTTGTCCTGAAGCCTATACTTGGATAAAAGGTTGCACCGGTGTTTAAATAGTCACAGGATCACGTATTTGAAAGCCAGCTAGTAAACAGTTGGCCAACAGTAAACAGTATGTTGGATATTACTAAGGGTTAAATACGCCTAGAAGCATTTTAAGAATGCTTTTTGCAGATGGAAAAAAATTATTCAAGCCGACTGTTTTATGTCTATATTGGGACATCAGTGGTTTTGATAGTTCTTCCATACTGTGTTTAATACTTAGACTGAAGGCATGCCATCAGACTGGTTTTACAGAAATGGTTTCAGTTGTTCATTGTAAATTCCTTCCATCTTGGTGTCAGTTGGCTCCTGCTAACTGCAGGATAGTGTAGGCAGTCTCTGAAGGGGATTTGTCCTGTTTTCTTGCACTGGGAGGATACAATGAAGGGATGGGGCACTGTGGGCCTGACAGGTTAGAGAGAGGTGATGGAGCCACATTTCTTCAGTAATAAGAGCCCCTGGAATTGTGGTTAGGTATGCTGGAAACAGTTTTCTCTGATGACTTGTCTTTACACTTCTGATTTACTTATACTCTCTGATACATTCTTTTTTTTTTTTTTTTTCTCTGTACTTAGCCTAGAGAGGTAAATATGATTAAAGAGAGAAGTTACTTTTGTAGTGTTCACATCTCAGCAAAGGGGCAGGGGCAGAAATGATTTGAAAGTGCTTCCATGGTTCTTCCTCAAATTCCTGCCACTATTCAGTTCTTCAGATTTTTCTTGAGCAGTGGGATGAGGAGAGGTAGTTGGTAGGATTGTGGTCTCGACACTCACTGAGTGATAAACATTGAAAAAGATATGTCCTATGTAGTGGGGGGGAAAAAGTGAGACTTAACAGCAGTGATGCTAGTGGCTGCTCCAAGAGCATTGTGTGTTTGAGAACAATTTCCTCCATATTTATTTCTAAACTTCATGTTTGTCACAGGTATATTGTGCACACAGTCATCTCTAGTGACTGCTGATTCACAGGAACTTCTTAAGCTGCAGTAAATGCATTTTGTGTTTTAGCCTTTTAGGTCCTGCCACCTGGACCACTGTCCCTGCCAGAATGCTGTTAACATTTTTATTTTTTTTTCCCCTATCCTCTCTTCTGCAGTCTCTGCTTGTGACAGTCAGAACTGCTCATGTGATTTTACGGTGAGTAGCTTATATTTTGCAGGATGGTTGTTCAAGAAAGTAGTGCATATTGATTTAAGAGGTGTATGTAATTGCCTTGTTAAATTGCAAATGCATGTTTGGAGATTGGCAAAGGTGGTTAACTTTAGCTTCTGCTTTTTTTAAGCTGAATTCTGCAATGCATGGATAGCTCTAGTGGGTGCTAATAGTTTAAGGCATAGATTAGAATGGATTGGTGCTGCTCTGTGAGCGTTGATATATACTACCTAATGTCATCCTACTGGGTTTCTTTTAAGATCTTAATCTGTAGAACTTTTGCTTTGCAAAAGTAGCATGCATGTGTATCTGTAATGCACATGTATATGTGTATGTAGGACATGATGTGTAGCACAAAACCTCTTTGTCCAGATCGCTATTGGCATTTCAGGTCTGTCACCCAGCTGTAATGCCTCACCTGAGAAACACCTCACATGCTGAAAAGTGTGGGTCTGTAGTTACTATAATCCCAAGACTGGCTTTCAGTACATGCAGGAGTTTTCAGCAAATCCTGCATCTTCTCTGTCAGCTGGTGGTATCTGTAATGCCAGTGTAGGCTAAGTATTGATTGGTTTTTGCCTTTTTAAAATGCTGCTGTTTGAAACCAGTAATGTTAAAAAAAAAGTTCCCCAGGAAAACACAGAGTATGGGCACTGGGTTTAGAAAGGGCAAAGAATCCATATGCAGAAGAAGTTGTTTGAAAAATGGATAGAGTAGTTTGAATGCTAGAGAGGCTATTTTAAGAAAAAAAATAGATTAATGTTAATTTCCCTGCTCTTGGCAGATATGTAATTCACCTCTGGGATCTCAACCATGAAGGAACGTGGGAGGGCAAAGGCACTTATGTCTACTACACAGATTTTGTCATGGAGCTAACCTTGCTTTCGCTGGACTTGATGCATCATATTCATATGCTGGTATGAAATACTGGACATAATGTTGAGCAAATAGACTGGCCTTAAAATAAGGTGTACTGGGTATACATATTTTGTGGATTATTTTGCTTTGCTTATTTGAGGAACCAAATATTACTGAGAAGTTATGTCAATAAACAGGAAAATGTAGTGTGGCGGGTTTAGGCATTCTTTCCTCCCGTATAATTGGAGTCATCACAAATAACTTTGTTATGGAGTATTAACTACTGTGTAATTATCTGTTTAATAGGTGTTTAATTAGCTTTGTTACCGAGTAGTATCAGCCTGAATTATTTTCACTGGCAGCAGGGGACATTAAGATGAACAGGACTGAATACAGTTTATCCTTATAAATGCTGTGCTGCTTAAGTTGTATCAGAAGATGTGATGAGTAATAACCATGAACACTGTGGTTAGTCAGAATGGTCTCAACAAAATAAATTCTTCAATGCTGGTTTCTCAGTTTTTTTTTTCTTTTAAGACCTGATGCAGTTTCTTGTGGTGGCCTCTCGTTTCCCACGGTGTTTGTTTCTAATCACCATTCTGTTTTTTTCCAAAGCTGTTTGGCAATATCTGGCTGTCAATGGCAAGCCTGGTGATTTTTATGCAGCTGCGCTACCTGTTTCATGAGGTTCAACGAAGAATTCGGCGGCACAAGAACTATCTGCGTGTGGTGGGAAACATGGAAGCTAGGTGAGCCTCTTACTTGCTCTGGGATCTTGATGTGGATCTTGGAGAGAGGATCCCGATGAAGAAGTTCGGATTCTTTTGCATTCCTTTGATACACGATATGGTGTAAGCCAGAGAGGTGCAATCTTGCAAATCCACCTCTAAAGTCTTTACACTTAGAATGTGTTTTTACCAATCTTATTTGTTACCAGGGTCATGCTTTCTGGTTTTAACAGATATGTAGGATTGACTTTTATAATAGCAGTATTACTAGTAACATACAAGTGAACTCCCCTGTCCAGTATTTCTTCTGTGTTCTCCTGTGTACTACCCTGGTGGGATGACGTAAGCTCTGCAGAGCTCTGCCTGTCTCAGTTGTCAAATACTGGCTTTGGCTGTGACAGAAATAAATGCTCTTAATTTCATTAGACTATACTATTCAGTTACTGCCTGAAACGAAATCAAAATATTAATTAAAACCTGCTCGGCTTTATGCATGTATTTATTAAACCCGAAGCCAACTCTAAACAGACTCTGTACTTGTAGTGGAGCTGAGAGCACCTTGGGATTACTTTAGTCCATCCCCCTGTAGTGAGGGAATAGAGAGAAATTGAGAGGCCTGTGAAAATCTAGTATTGTGCCAAATACTACTGCATCTCTGATCCAGTGTTTTCATAGCTCAGCTATGTCCTTAATAATTTTAAGAGCAACAGGGAGTTTTTCTGTACATTGCTGTGCCATTTTCATTGTGGACTTTAGTGGATTTGACAAGCTCTGATGCCTGCTGCTGTAGTCCAGATGGCAATGACAGACTTCTTTAGAAATTCCTGAGGCTTTCTTTGTAAAAAGCCATTTAATGGCTGTAATATCAGGTTGAAAGCTGCATAATAAACGTAATCCACAGTTTCTTTTCAGTAAGGTGCAGCCGCTAAACCCCTTTAAGGTGCTCACAAAGCTGTTGGAATTGCAAGTGTCTCAGACTTCTTGTCTGAGCAACTTGATGGGCTTTTGTCATTCTGATTGTTCTGGAAGAGCCACATTTTAGCTTCCAGAAGCTGCCAATGACAGCAAGCTCTCTGCCTTTGTGTAGCTGTTCTTCAGGTATATTCCCCACAAGCAGTACTGTGAAATTGTGTTATACCACTCATCTCTCTATTGTCGGTGTTTGGGTACAGCTGCTTGCTGGTGCTGTTAAAAAAAAAAAAAAAAGGGGGGGGGGGATTGGCAAAATCTGAGGCCAAAATTAGTCAGACCATAAATGTTTATGATCTCAAGAAGACACTTAAATGGGTACAGCTATTAAAACTCATTTACAAAAATGACATAAGCCAAATCTATACAGATTATAACTTGAGGTTCTCAACCTAATGATCATACTTCTTGCAAGATATGTCAAAGCTTTTTGCACTTAGGATGTATGTGGAGATGGGCAAAAAAATGTGCTCATAAGAAGACAGGGGAGGGATGTGTTTGTGTTTTCCTTTGTGGTGTGAGTCTGAGTTACGGGGAAAAAATAGCAAATCTGATGGCACACATCTCCCACGATGAAATTAACATGGAGGATAAGGTTTCCTTAGTGCAGGATTCTCTAGACAGAAGGCTGTGCCGAGCTGTTGTAGTCATTACTTTTGTATCTTCCTTTTTCTTCTTCATAGGTTTGCAGTTGCGACGCCAGAGGAGCTAGCAGCCAATAACGACGACTGTGCCATTTGCTGGGACTCCATGCAGTCCGCGCGTAAACTCCCATGTGGCCATCTCTTCCACAAGTACGTTTCTGGGGCTGGGGAGGGTGCAGAAAGGAGGGGATATATGGGCATGTCTGAAAGTTACAGCAGGATAAGTAACTAGCTCAGCAAGGCTGTGAACGCTTACTGCCTGTGTCACCTTGGTCTGCTCCTAATAATAAAGTACAAATCATGTTCACTTCAATCATTTTTATTTTGGAGTTGTTTCACCTGGTGCATTCTTTTTTCCCCCTAACTAAGAGTATGCATCTTGTCAGCTGGCAGGTTGACAGCATTGAGTTACGATATCTCAACTGCAAGTCTGTCCCCTGCCTTGCTGTGTAACTGCTTGGTAAAACACACTCTTTTCCCCCTTACTTTTTCCTGTGCATCACCTCTTCCATAAGGTTGTGTTGATATTCAGGTGAGGAAGAAAAATTTGAGTTAGATCCTTAAGTACCTTTCAGATACCAACTTTAAAAAGAAAATGGGGAATATTTTTATATAGTGCATCCTTGCATGGTGGTGAGTCCTCCAGGACAGTTGTGGAGGCCAGGTCTGATTATATGATTTCATGGGGGGATGAGTCCATCAGAGCTGTAAAAGTGGTTAACCGAATTAGCTGAAGAGATCCCTAAGCAGGTGATGGTTGAAACTGTGAGGCTCTTGGCCAGAGGATCTCTCTCTATACTGTTTCTTACACTCTAGTGAATAGTATCAGATGCTTGTGGAGACAGTGTGCTGGGCTGGATATGCCTTTTCTTAGATCTTTTGTAGCAGTGCCTATATTGTCACCCTTGTGCTTAAAAATGAAAGGAGGTAGGGGGTTGAATTGAGAGTTTCTGAAGTGCCATGTGATTAACATGCATGGTCAGTTAAATTGTCCCTGTGGTGTCATCTGAGCAAGTTACTTTCTGCAAATAGCTTTTTACTTTTCTGGTAACTGTCAAACCAGAGGTTATAATCTGTGTGCTAATTTGTTGTCATTTATGACAAACCTTGCGATAAATATTTATCTGTGTTCCAAGAAGTCTCTAATGAGATAATGTGCCTCTGTAGCAGTAACTCCTCTTCCAATGCTACTGAATCATATGAATATTTAATCACCTACTGAGCACTTGAGAAGCCCAGGGTCTTCTCTTCAGAAAGTTGTTTTTTCTGTATCTAAAAGGAACCCTTTGGATCTTTTTCTGAAGCTAAGATACACTTAGTCTGGTGTATTTAGAGAGGGTACATGTTACAGTGCATGTCTTACGCTTGCATATAAAACCAGATGTAATTAATAACCCTATTTACTACCTAAGAATGGTTTCTCTCCTGAGAAAAGCCTAGTGATTTTGCTAAACTTTACGTCCATTCTCAATTACATGGGAATTTTTTTCATAGCCATTTATTTGGAGTAGAAGAGAAGAAGGCAGGGAAGATTTGCATTGCTGAGGACAACTCTGTGCCTAAATATTAAGAAAGTTTTAACAGGAGTGGGTGTCCGATGGTTTCAAGCTCTGTTGAAACTCTCCCCTTTGTCTTCTAGGAAACAGTCAATTTCAAAAGAGTTGCTGCTCTGAAATGTTGCTGGCCTTGACCTGTTGTTAGTCATCCTTCTGCTGAGGTGCTGTAGGTGCCTGAGCCCTTCTGCCTGTGCAGTGCCAAAGGGGCATAGCCACGGCTGGCTTACTGCAAGCCTTGAGGGCTTGGTGCTGATGCAAGCTGAAGGGGGTGCATGTCTGTTCCACCATCTCCATGGCTGGGCTGTTGAGCAGCAGCAGCGTGGTGGTAGCTTGTGTCACTCCAGGTGTTTCATAAGTGACCTTTTAGTACAACCATAGCGGAGGTTTGAATTTGCTGTAGTAAAGGAGATGAAGTTGGACAGCATCGGCAGTGCTAACATGATGGTTGTGCTGATGACCAAGGTGGTGGAAGACGGTAGATTTTTCTTGTAGTGTTTTGGTTTCTTCTGGGAAACCAACACTTAATTTCTGAACACTGCCTATCTCTCCATTTAAATATGATAGAAACCATTTTGGCAATATGTCTGTATGCTACAGCTTTGGGAATTGTGCAGGGTGCTTGTGTCCTTGACTTTGCTATAGTCCTGTAGTTAGGGCTTTTTCCTTGCTCTTTCAGCCCAAATGTACAATCTGTGCCTTTACTCCATTTGCAAATACACAATTTGGGAAACAGATTTATGTGACCTTTTTCTATATTTCTACCTTTCTAAAGTGTTTTGAGAGTTTCTGCTGGAAAACCCCACCCCGAAAGTGTGAAGATTGAGACGTGTTCAGTTCTGTGAAATTCAGTTCTTCCATACTGAAAATCAGGTTTCATGTGCCAGCAAATACCACAACTGGGTCATACCAGTCTCAATCAAAAAGTTGGCACAGCTCTGAATGTTTAAACCAGCATTTCAAATACTCCTCACTTTCTGCAAGACACTAAATGGTTCAGAATTAAGCAAACATTGTAAATGTAACAGCACTGGTTAGTATTAATAGATCTGTTTAGAGTTTCCAGAGCAGTACTCTACTTTTGGTGGTGATTTGAGTATTGATATTTTTGAAAAGGTATTTGAAAAACTTTGGATGTGCCATTGCCACATCACACTGGCAGAAGTGCTATGAAAATGTGTCAGAATATTTTAAATACTTGTCCAGTTGTTTCTTGGCCTTTTTCATTTGAGGATGGTGAGAGAAGAGAAATATTTTGTTTCCCTTTTCAGGCAAAACTTGTTTGTTCTGAGCTAGAGGCACAGCAAGCCTAGAGAGTGTTTTAAGTTTGTGATAAATCTGGATGCTCAAGTGAACACTTAAGGATTTTCAGCTGAAAGAAATAAGAAACCTATGCTAGAGTCATCAGGAGCTCGTCAAGGATATCTCACAAATTATCTCTGAGCAGTCCCTGTGCATTTGTTGATGTTCTGTACAGAATATGCTACAGCTGCTTGATGTACTCATGATACTGATGTCTTGGAAAAATGCTGCAAGCTCACCATATTATTACTGTTTTCCTGTCAGCTCATGCCTGCGGTCCTGGCTGGAACAGGATACATCTTGCCCCACCTGCAGAATGTCTCTTAATATCACTGACAACCATCATGTGAGGGAGGATCACCAAAGGGAAAATCTGGATGAGAACCTGGTCCCTGTGGCAGTAGCGGAAGGCAGACCACGCTTGAACCAGCACAATCACTTCTTTCATTTTGATGGTGAGCTAAGCAGATTTGACATCCGATGCTCTTGCCCAAATAAACAAAGGGAACAGCCTTCTGTAGAAGGGCATTCTGTCTATGCTTCAGTTAAACCGTGCTTCTGCTTGTATTTGCCAAACATGTATATGTTATGGTTCTTTTGCAAGAGCTCAGATGCGTGTCTCTAAGGTTGTCCTGAGGTACAGAGATTTCTTGAAAGACTGTGCAAGTGCTCCTTTGATTTGTTGTGGTTAACAGCTTTAATACTGGCATTTATTCATTGTGTGCCATGTTGAGGAGCAGAAAGGGAAATTCACGTGTCTTATTTTATTACCAGGTGGGGGTTAATCAGTGACAGTCAAAGAGGAAAAAAAACTCTGTGGCAAAGTCTAAAAGTTGATCTTTCCTCTATCCCGTAGCTTATGTGAGGTTGTCAAAAGTCCATTTGTCACTCAGTTTACAAGAAACTTGCAATGCTTGGTTAGGTGCAGAAGTCTGCACAAGTTTATTGTTAGAATGAGTCATGTAATTGGAACAGTTTTGTTTTTTTTTTTTTCCTTCCAGTGGTGTGTACTCACAAAGCAGATGTGATTTCAGACCATGATGAGTTCTGGGTGTGCAGACAAACTTGTTCTGAAAGAGGCAATTTCTGTTGATTATCTTCCAGATTTTTTGTAGTTTTGGTATAGTTGCATGCTTATCTTCCACAGTTTCCCAGGTTTTTTTGATGGCAGTCTTGTTTCTCAGTAGGTTTCACTAGGACAGATGTTCAGCTTCAGGCTCTGTCCTTGTGGAGCTCCCATGATGTAGCTGAGATGCTGCAGACTTACACAGTGACCCATTCTTTGCCTGGTCTGGTTTTGCAGTCTTTGGAGACTGTGGGAGGAGAATAATAGGCAGAGAAGGGTCAGACATTTCTAGGTACGCTGAGACTGGCTGATAGCTTCTTGCATAGCTTCCACTTTCAGGGTGCTTTAGGTCTCCAAAGGAGTTTTATATTTAGAATACCACTTTGTTTTTTGGTAGCTGTCCTCCCCAGTGCTTTCCTGGGTCTTGGAGACCTGCAAAATTACTGTGGAGATAGAAGAACTGGCATAGAGCAAACCCTGTGTTTACTGAAATGGAAATGCAGAAGGAGGAGGGAGCCAGCCATGTGCCCTACTCTGAGCCTAAGCACACAATTGCAGCAGTCACTTTGTTTGGTTACTCTGTGTCCATTTGTAGTAATATTTTCTCAGTGATGCCAGCTGTCTATAGCTGACCCATTTTGGGACCAGATTCAGCCTCTTTAGAAGCTGGCCTGTCTTTAGTATAATTGCTGGAGTTATTAATGTATTCCAGAACTGAAGTTGGCTCTGGATTATATTACTTTTCCCCCTAATGGGAACATTAAAACAAGAAAACAAGGATGTGTTTTCTTAATCCTCTTCTGGCCATCAGATTGTTAAGCCACTGTGACAGCGTGTTTGAAGAGAGTATTGGCACTTACTTATTTACTCCAGCCATTCATGTTTCGGAGACTTTAGGGATGGATTGCACTGCAGAACTCCCCATATGTACCTTGTGGAAATATGAAGACTTATGTTAAATACATGTAGAAGTACTTTGCCTGCTGAGAACCTCATATTCTTGCTTGACTTTCTTGGTGTTTTCTTGTTCTTAGGATCTCGAATTGCCAGCTGGCTGCCCAGTTTCTCAGTAGAAGTGATGCATACCACAAACATCCTCGGTATCGCACAAGCCAGCAACTCCCAGCTTAATGCTATGGTAAGACTGCTTTAATAGTTTGCACCTCAGCCTTCCTGTTTATGTTGGAGGGGAGAAAGAGGTACATGTAGATGGAGAACGTAAGAGGGAATGAAGTCAAACTAGTGTTTAGATGCTACGTGAAAGTTATTTTTTAGAGTGATAGAAGCTTTGTTTTGGTGAAGTTAGGGTTACGTTCAAATGTACAAACATAACAGAACAGGTCTGGAGGTAGGTAACTGAGAGAGAAGAATTAGTTGTACTTTCTGTGTAGATAGACACACGTTTTCTCAGCTTGCTTAGTGCAACTTCTTTCACCTACAACTTGCAGTAGCCAAGGGTGTGAGTCTGTAACTAGAGAACTTAGCTGCTGATTAAGTGGTAACTGATCAAATCAATTCTATAGCTTTTGATTTTTTTAGTATTTGTTTTCAATAGCACTGAGCTCCAAGATAGCTGTTTCTGTTTGAGTGTCTTGTCAGTGTGAGACACGGCTCTCTTGTAGCAGTCAACTCTTGCTGATTCATGATGATGATAGGAGTGTTGAGGGTGAAATCCCAGGTTTTTGACTTCATACATAAACACTCTAATATAGTACAAAAAGAGAAGGATGTGGCCTCATGAAACACACTTTGTTCATTTAGATTGAGAAGTGGTGTTACCTTTGAGTTCTTAAAACTACTGTGCTATAGCATGTTACTAAATGTTCAGTGAGGTATCTCACGAAAGCGATGATATTTTTGAATGTGAGATCTCTTCCATAGCTTTCACTGCTGTTTAAGTCTCAACAGGATAAGGCCACAGTTTTTAGGGTGTTTGAGGCAGGGTGGGCAGGGAGGGGTAAAGTGTTGGCAGAAGATTTGCCAGTTAAATATGCAGCAACTCTCCATCTAAGATCAGTTTAGTTTGTCTTTTACTGGACACAGTGACACAAATGGGCTTTTGTTAAGGGTGAGTAATGATCTCTTAGCATTGTGTATTATTAAAAGTATAGTAGCAACTTATATTAAAATGCCCTCTTTAATGGAAAGGCTCAGGTTAGCAAACTATTAAAGCGTTACACATTTTTAATAGAAAATAAGTGAAATTCACCTTTGTGTTACTGAATAAAAACCTAGGGAAGTATTTTGAGGGAGAGGCCAGAGACTGAAATGCTAAATGAGTTGTTTTGGTCAGAGGCTGGTACAATGGAGAGTTAGGTTTGCTGTAGTTGTTTGTGTTTGAACCCCCTGTCAGTTGGTGCACAGTTTTTGCTTTGCTCTCAAAACTCCTTCCACCTTTCTTTTCTTCTTACTGCTGTTCTCATTCTTCCCCCCCCGCCTCCCCTAAACTTTCAGCATTAGTTAAAAATATATATTTTAATGTTTAGTGAAGTCTAGCTGTTACTCTAAAAGAATATTATTTATCTGCTCTCTTGCTTTTACCTGTTTAATTTGAATACTATTTGAATAACTTGAAATTCAATAGTAGCAGTTCCCTAATATCTCAGTTTAATTTACTTGAGCTTTCACACCCTATTAAACTGGTTTGTAGGCAGGGTGTCTGGAGAGAGTAGGTTATTAAAACTCATTCCACTTGTCCTTACCAGTACCGTTTTGGAACCCGCCTGGGATAAAGGAAAATTATTTTTCTTTTCAGTGTTGTTCTAACTTTCTGTCACTCACATGGGTTTTGTGTAGATCTTTATTAAAAAGGCTGTCATATAAAGAGGGTTGGGAAGCTTTTTTGTGCATCTACACGCACTGTTCAGCAACCTAAATTGTCAGGACCATGATGGTGTCTCCGTAGGAGTTGCAGTTTTGCTGTTGGCTTCAATGGAGTCAAAATATTGCCCTGTAAGTCCATGCCAGCATGAGTTTTCTTTCTCTTGTTTTTTCTATGTGTGGGTTATCGTATAAACAGCATCTTTGAACTGTTATTTTTTTTAATCTCTTTCTGTTGAGATACATACTAGTTAACTTTTATTTACTGTTGATACTGACTGTATAAACCTTGCTTTCTCCAGGCCCATCAGATTCAGGAGATGTTCCCTCAGGTTCCTTATCACTTAGTTCTACAGGATCTGCAGCTAACTCGTTCAGTAGAGATTACCACTGACAACATCCTAGAAGGGCGTATCCAGGTACCTTTTCCCACACAGGTAAGTCATAGGACCGTGCACCTAAAATGACTTGACTTTCTTATTTACCACAGAACTGAGGCTGTTAATAGTGAGTGAGGGGAATGAGGTAAGTTGAAGCACTGGTGAATCCAGCTTAGCTTAATGCAATATTTTTCTTCAGACTTCACCTGTAGGAAGATGTTTCAGTCGGAAGCACCAAAACAGTTTTGGCAGTCTAGTGTATGTTGTATCTCCATGTTGCAACATCTGACTTGACTGGGATGTCCCTCAGGGGTGTGTGATTGAGATACACACATCTGTTCCTTGCTGTGGCCCTTAGAAGAAGGCCTTTTAATGTATTAGGATGGGTCTCAGGCGTGCTTTAGCAGTATCCATTTGTAATACAGGTATCCTGGTTTTGGCTGGGATAGAGTTAACTTTCTTCCTAGTAGCTGGTATAGTGCTGTGTTTTGGATTTAGGAGGAGAATAGTGTTGGTAACACGCTGATGTTTTAGTTGTTGCTGAGCAGTGCTTGTACTAAGTCAGGGACTTTCAGCTTCTCCTGCTGCCCTGCCAGCAAGGAGACTGGGGGTGCACAAGGAACTGTGAGGGGACACAGGCGGGACAGCTGATCCCAGCTGGCCAGAGGGATATTCCACACCGTATGACGTCATGCCCAGTATATGAACTGGGGGGAAAGCTGGCTGGGGGGCCACTGCTTGGGAACAGGCCAGGCATCGGTCGGTTGGTCGCAAGCAACTGTTTTTCACTTGTGTCACCTGTTTTTCTTAGGTTTTATTTCTCTTTTTGTTATTTGCCTTTTCATTACAACTTATTATTGGTTTTATTTTATTTCAGTTATTAAACTGTTCTTATCTCAGCCCATGAGTTTTCTTACTTTTGCCCTTCTGATTTTCTCCCCTATCCCACCCGGGCAGCTGTGTGGTGCTTAGCTGTCGGCTCGGGTTAAACCATGGCAGTCCTTTTTGGCACCCAACATGGGGCTCGAAGGTTGAGATAATGACAGATCTGACCAGAGTATGTTAAAACAAATTTGTTACAAGCATTCATTATATTAGTTTGATAGTTGCTGGTCACAACGTTGATTTCTTTGCTCTCAAAGTTGTTGTGCTTGTTCTCGGAGTTGTGTTATGTTACACCCTACTTGCTGTATATGTTCCCTGTTGTGATGTTTATGACTTCTGGGGACTGGACTGAGGTTATTGTGTTGATGTACTGTGTAACAGTGACTTACGATATGATAAAATCACTGGTTGTGGGACTAATCTAGTGTTTGTACTGAACTCTGCTGTGATCTTCATACTTTGGGAGCCATCTCTCGGAAACTATTATTTACTACGTCTTTTACCTTTTCTCCTTGGAGAGCCAATCTGTGAGGGAGACAAGGGGAGGAAACTTTCCCCTGCTCATTCACCTTCCTCTTCTCCTCCAGGCTGCTCCATCCCCCACGACAGGCACTGCTGCTGCTCCAACCCCCACAGCAGGCACTGCAGCTACTCCGGCTCCCACAACAGGGATTGCAGCTGAACCAGAGAACCAACCTGTTCTGGCATCAGACACCCTTTCACTCAAGAAGAAATACTGGAAGCAAAAGTCAACTCACCTAGTAAGGGAAGAAACTCTTCTGGATGAGGCAGACTACTCTTCACAAGAAGAGGAGGAAGAAGAAGCAGAACTCATAAATGAGGGGGTAGCCCCCCGATCCATATCCATGACTCAGCTACAACACATGCGAAAAGATTTCAGTCGCCGTTCAGGCGAGTACATTGCCACCTGGCTGCTCCGATGCTGGGATAATGGGGCTGGTTGCCTGGAATTAGAGGGTAGCATAGTCAGGCGACTGGGATCTCTTTGTAGGGAAGAGAGTGTTGACAAAGCGATTGTAAAAGAGCCACAAATCTTCAGCCTCTGGAAGCGACTCCTGTCAGGTGTGAAGGAAGGGTACCCCTTCAAGAACAATGTTATATGTCACCCAGACAAGTGGACCACCATGGAGAAAGGTATCCAGTACCTGAGGGAATTAGCTATGCTGGAGGTGATTAAGGATGCCGTGAACAACAAGCAGTTATCCACAGATCCAGATGAAGTCAGGTGCACAGTATTTATGTGGTGGAATTTTGTACAGAGTGCACCACGGTTCTGTGCCAAGTCATTGGCAGTAATGACGAGGAAAGGGGTAGAGGAACAAACAGTGCATGAATTGGTTGTCCAACTCCGGCAATATGAAGAAAGTCAACCTTTCTCTGCTGTCTGGATTGTGGAGAGACTGACTCAGGAGTTCCAGCAATTCAAAGAGGATATGGGCTACTCCCCACCTGTACGGACCAGGACCTCAGCTGTTAGGAGTAAGCGTTCCTCTGCTCTAGAGAGAGGATATAGAGGATACATGTCACGGGCCACCCTGTGGTTTTACCTGCGTGACCACGGAGAGGACATGAGGAAGTGGGATGGGAAATCTACTGTGACTCTAGAGGCACGGGTACGTGAGTTGCAAGGAAAACCAATCACAAAAGGGAATTCTTCCAGGAAGATTGTTGCTTCCGCCTCCAGTAGGCAGTTCCCCAGACAGAGTAGAAGGGCTAACCTTAATGAAGGGACTTCCGATTCATATTTACAAGTTGTGAGTAGGAAATACTATGATCGGTACTAGAATGGCCCTGCCTTCAGCCAGGTGGAGGAAAGGAGCAACTGGGATTACTGGACTGTGTGGATTTGGTGGCCTGGCACATCAGACTCACAGGATTATAAGGCTTTAGTGGACACCGGTGCACAGTGTACCCCAATACTATCAAACTATAAGGGTGAAGAACCCATCTGTATTTCTGGCATGACAGGGGGATCCCAAGAGCTGACTGTGTTGGAGGCTGAAGTGAGCCTGACTGCAAATGAGTGGCAAAAACACCCCACTATGATTGGCACCGTGGCCCAGTGCACCCTTGGCATAGACTGTCTCAGCAGAGGGTATTTCAGGGACCCAGAAGGTACCAGGGGGCCTTTGGTATAGCTGCCTTGGAGGAAACTGAAGTTGTCCACCTTGCCTGGTCTCTTGGAGGATCCTTCTGTTGTGAGGTTGCTGAGGGTCAGAGAACAAAAGGTGCCGATCGTTACCATAACGGTGCACTGGCAGCAATATCACACCAACCAAGACTCCCCGGTTCTTGTCTGTAAGCTCATTTGTTGGCTGGAGAGCCAAGGGGTGATCAGCAGGACTTGCTCAACCTTTAACAACCCCTTATGGCCAGTGCGAAAGTTTAATGGAGAGTGGAAACCAGCAGTAGACTACTGTGGTCTGAATGAAGTCATGCTGCCGCCAGTTGCTGCCATGACAGACGTGCTAGAGCTTCAATACAGACTGGAGTCAAAGGCAGCCAAGTGGTGCACCACAATTGATATCACTAATAAATTTTTTTCAATCCATTTGGCAGCAGAGTGCAGGCCACGCTTTGCTCTTGCTTGGAGGGGTGTGCCTCAGGGGTGGAAACACAGCCCTACCATTTGCCTTAGACTGATCCAGGCTGCACTGGAGCAGGGTGAAGCTCTAGAACATTTGCAGTATGTGGATGACATCATCATGTGGGGCAATACAGCAGAAGTAGTATTTGAGAAAGGGAAGAAAATAATCCAAATCCTTCTGAAAGCCAGTTTTGCCATAAACCAAAATAAGGTCAAGGGACCTGTGCAGGAGATGCAGTTTTTAAGAATAAAATGTCAAGATGGGTGTTGTCAGATCCCAGTAGATCTGATCAATGAAAATAGCTATGTCTCCACCAACAAGTAAAAGGAAACACAAGCTTTCTTAGTGTCGTGTGGTTTTGGAGGTTGCATATTCCAAATTACTGTCTGATCATAAGCCCTCTCTATCAAATGACCCAGAAGAAAAACTTTCAAATGGGGCCCTGAGCAACAACAAGCCTTTGAACAAATTAAACAGCAGAAAGTTCGTGCAGTAGCTTTTGGGCCATTCTGGGCAGAACAAGATGTAAAAATGTGCTGCATGTTGCAGCCAGGGAGAATGGCCCTACCTGGATTCTGTCAGAAAGTACCAGGGTAGACTCAAAGCTGACCCCTGAGATTTTGGAGCTGGGGATACAGAGGATCTGAAGCCTGTTATATCCCAACTGAAGAAGAGATATTGGCAGTATATGAAGGGGTTTGAGCTGCTTTGGAAGTGGTTGGGACCGAAGCACAGCTCCTCCTGGCACCCCGACTGCTGGTGCTGGACTGGCTGGATGTTCAAAGGGAGGGTACCCTCTACACACCACACAACGGATGCCACATGGAGTAAAGTGGGTCACACTGATCACACAGTGGGCTTGGATAGGAAACCCCAGTTGCCCAGGAAACTTCGAAGTGATCAGGAACTGGCCAGAAAGCAAAGATTTTGGAATGTCTCCAGAGGAGGAGGTGATGTGTACTGAAGAGGCCCCACTGTTTAATATACTGCCAGAAAATGAGAAGCAATATGCCCTGTGCATTGGTGGGTCGTGTCATATGGTGGGAAAGCACCAGAGGTGGAAGGCTGCTATATGACAATTTGCAGAAACTGCTGAAGGAGAAGGTGAATCAAGTCAGTTTGCAGAGGTGAACACCATCCGGCTGGCTTTAGATACTGATGATCAAGAAAAATCATCAGTGCTCTATCTCTGTACTGACTCAGGGATGGTGGCGAATGCCCTGTGGGGGTGGCTGCAGCAGTCGAAGGAGAGCAACTGTCCGTGCAGGGGCAAACCCATCTGGGCTGCCACATTGTGGCAAGATCTTGCTGCCCAGCTGGAGAACCTGGCCATCAAGGAAAAGATGCAGCATATAGATGGGCTTGGCATGGAGGGGTGAACTTGTCTGTGGACACTATCGCACAGGTTATCCATGAGTGTGAAATGTGTACTGCAGTCAAGCAAGCCAAGCGTTTAAAGCCTCTGTAGTATGGAGGACAAGGGTTAAAATATAAATGTGGGGAGGCCTGGCAGATTGACTGTATCACACTCCTGCAAACCTGCTAATGCAAGTGCCATGTGCTTACAATGGTGGAAGCAACCACTGGATGGCTGGAAACATATCCTGTGCCCCATGGCCACCATCTGGAACACTGTTCTGGGCCTTGAAAAGTGAGTCTTGGGGTGACATGGCACCCCAGAAAGAGACAACGGGACTCATTTCCAAAATGACCTCATAGACACCTGGGCCGAAGAGCATGGCATTGAGCAGGTATATCACATCCCCTGTCATGCACCAGCTGCCAGCAAAACTGAACGATCCAGTGGGCTCTTAAAGCCTCCACTGAGCAATGGGGAGTGGGACTTTAAACACTGAGATACACAAAGCCACTTGGTTAGTCAACACGAGGGGATCTGGCAGTCAAGCAGGCCCTGCCCAATCAAAACTTTTGTATACTGTAGAAGGGGATAAAGTCCCTGTAGTTCATGTAAAAAAATAGACAAAGGCAAACCCATCCCTGGGATTGCTTTTGCTCAAGGACCTGGGTGTACTTGGTGGGTAATGTGGAAGGATTGGGAAGTCCAATGTGTACCTCAGGGGGATTTGATTTTGGGTAAGGATAGCCAATTATTTGAATTGTATGATATTAATTGCTGTGTAATACCTTATGCCATTGCTACTATGGTTGCTGTATGCCATATCCACAGTATTACAGTAAGAACCATCCAGATTAATGAAGAATTAAGTTTGGTGGGACCAGAATTGGCCTCAGCATGCAGCAATCCAACACCCCAGACCATCCCTCTTGCCCTGAAGGACTGTTATCACAGATGGAGCCCAAAGTCATGGACTAAATGAACTCAGCAGACATTTTAGAGGGGTGGGCCGTGGACTAAAGGAGTGATACATCTCTGTGTATACGAAAGGATGGGAAAGGTCAGGGTGATTAATTGGGCTGTATTGGAAAGTGTGAGACCTGGGCATGACGTAGGTGGTATAGAATAAGGGGTGGATATTTTCCTGGTTTTGTCTGGCATAGAGTTAACTTTCTTCCTAGTAGCTGGTATAGTGCTGTGTTTTGGATTTAGGAGGAGAATAGTGTTGGTAACACGCTGATGTTTTAGTTGTAGCTGAGCAGTGCTTGTACTAAGTCGGGGACTTTCAGCTTCTCCTGCTGCCCTGCCAGCAAGGAGACTGGGGGTGCACAGGGAACTGGGAGGGGACACAGGCGGGACAGCTGATCTCAGCTGGCCAGAGGGATATTCCACACCGTATGACGTCATGCCCAGTATATGAACTGGGGGGAAAGCTGGCCGGGGGGCCACTGCTTGGGAACAGGCCGGGCATCGGTCGGTTGGTGGCAAGCAACTGTTTTTCTCTTGTGTCACTTGTTTTTCTTGGGTTTTACTTCTCTTTTTTTATTTGCCTTTTCATTACAATTTATTATTGGTTTTATTTTATTTCAGTTATTAAACTGTTCTTATCTCAACCCATGAGTTTTCTTACTTTTACCCTTCTGATTTTCTCCCCCATCCTGCTAGGGTAGGGGGAGTTGAGTGGTGATTACTTGCTGGCTGGGGTTAAATCACAACAATGGGTATTTTCTTCATGAAGGAAATTTAGAGTCTGTCACCCATGCTCTATAGCTTCCCCCTGATTGATGTGACTGGACTGCAGGACACATGGAGTGCTTTCTTACAGTAGTGCCCAAATTCTAGTAAAAAAAACGCTCAGTTTTTGTTTTTCCTTTGTTTAAATCTCTGTAAATGCAGTATATTCAGTCAGGTACCAAAAATGTACTGAAAATGTCCTAGCTAGATTAGAGACAAATATTTGCTCAGTTAAAGCAGATCTTTTTGATCACCCTTTAGAACATTTCCAGTTGATTTCTCTGCTGACAGATAATTGAATTGTACCACTTAGGAAGGTTTTCTGCAAAGAAAGTAGCCGGCAAACTAATGCCTTGTTAATTAGTGATAGCAGATTTCAGTAAAGCAGTCTGGGGACAATGTTTCTGTTCATAAGAATATTGAATTCTGGTTCTGTGCACATCAGATAGTACTGCTATCTGGAGTCTGTGGGGGGGGAAGCAGAGAGAATTCTCTTTCAACACAGCGCAGTCTGTTTATTGCTAACTTATCTGTTTCTAAATTGAACATAACGCATGACGTTGTAGAGGGCAGAATTTGAATGTGTTCAAAGAACTCGTCGTTTTGCCATTTCACACACTGTATTAAACCCATGATGTTTGCATTTCAGCGTGCAGATAGCATTAGACCTGCATTGAACAGTTCTGTGGAACGGCACAGTACTGATCAGGAGGATACTGAAACTGTCACACAGGTAATTTGGCATAAAAATGGGCAAAAAGCACAATTAGAAGCTGCACGGACAGGTAAGTGTGTTAGGTTCCGTATCAGGTCAGGTTGACGGCAGCTCATCCTTGTGTTTCACACCAGAACTAACACTGTCAGGCAACTAAAGTGAGGCTTTAGCATGGTGCTCCTGTAAACAATTATCTCTGTGCTTTTCTTTTTCCTCCTTGAAGGAAAGTGCTCTCAAGTGATAGAAAGAACAGAAAAAGATCATGTCTCTCTTCATGTCTGGTCAGGCCTATGCCCATCTATGCAATATGAAGAACAGAATGCTTTGCTCCTCCCCTTTTTCCCATTCCCATTCTGTATGTCTCCAGACACTTCCTTAAAATGAGTAGTATTTCTCTTATGGGTATAAAAATTCTTTTGTTTTCTGGAGGAAGCACTTGGAGTCATGGGAGCTTTGATGTGAATGGAGTGGGATACAAAACAAGACCAAGAGATTAACAACCTTTTTACATGTAAAGCACAATAATGGGTTTTGCTGTTCTTCACTAAGGGTTTAGTGCTAGCTGAAATGTGGCAGGAAGAAAAAAAGAATAACCTGTGAGTAGAATAAAGTCTCACTCCACTTCTGTTTTCCCTGAATATAGTAGCAAAACGGTGAGGGTTTCTGTTTTAGAAACCTCCCTTTCTGCTGGCATAGTGTTGTGGTTTGAGTTTAAGAGGACAACTGAGCACCATACAGCTGTTCACTCCCCCCTTCCCCTGCCAGCGCTGAGAAGGAGGAAAGCAGAAGACCCAGGAGATTGAGATAAGGACAGGGAGGGATGGTCTTCTCCTTCAAGGCATGGGCAAAACCCAGGCTTGGGGGGAAAAAAAAAGAACATAATACAGATGCTAACAAACCAGCACTTAACACATCGAGTAGGACCATGAGCAGCATTATCACATCCTGAAAACACCTTCCCCCACCCCTCCCTTCTTCCCAGGCTCAGCTTTGCCAGGCCCGCTGTCTCTATCTCCTCCCCACCAGCAGTGCCAGGGGCAGGGAAGGGGGGTTCCCACTCCTTCCTCCTCAGGGCAGAGGAGGAATTTCTGGCATTCCTCTTCTGTTCCAGGAGGGTGCCCCTCACAGGAGACAGTCCTCCACTAACCAACTCTCACATGAGTGAGTCCCATGGGTGTGTGGGTCACCCCTGTGTGTTGCAGCCCTCCCAGCACTGAACTACAACAGCAGGGCATCTTCCCATGGGGTCCTGGCCATCTTCGGGCACTGAGTGGGCGTGGGGCCCCCAGAGGCAGCAGATGGGTATCTGCTCCGTGGGTGACCCCCACAGGGGCAGAGTGGGTATGGGGGTGGCCCTGCTGTCTCACCATGGGATACAGGGGGGGTGTGCACCAACACACTTCCCACCTCCTCCTTCCTTCGAGTGACCTGGGTGTTTGCACAGATGTTCTCACAACTCCCACCACTCCTCCCAGGTTCCCCTTCTTAAATACGTTATGGCAGAGATGTGGCCACCATTGCTAATTGGCCCAGTCTTGGTGCAGGGGCAGGTCAGACTTGGAGCAGGGGGAGCTTCGAGAAGCTTCTCACAGGGGCCACCACTGTAGTCCCCTCCTCTGCTACCAAAAACCCTACCACTCTCAAACCAGGACACAGAGAGTGAATTTGTGAGGTGAGTGACATTCTGCCTCTGCAGCCTTTAATAACCTGAATAGCCAACCTGTTACTCACCTGAAATTGAACTGTGGCAGTTCCCTTGTTAGCAGGCTGCAAGACAGAACTTTCACTTGTTTTGATAACCTCAGTTGAGGCTGAAGAAAAGGTGGTGGGGATTGGTGCAGGTTTTTAGTAAGCCTGATATAGGAGATACAGAATTGTGGGAATGAAAATATTGATCTGGCTTTAGCAACTCCTTAGTTGCTAGTTTGGGTTAACTTGAAGGTTTTGGTGGCATTTTCCCTGCTCTTTATGAGTAAAACCTCTTTCTACAAATGGTACCTAACTAGTTTTTCTTACCTTGGTACTGGCTTCAAATCCCCCTTTGGATGATTTTATAGCTGTTCACCTTTTTCCTTCCAGCCAGCACTACCTGTGTCTCTGTCCTTCCTTCTACAGAACTTAAAAAAGTGAGAGTGATACGTCATGTCATTGAGCACATGCTCTCTTGACAGTGAAGTCTTCCTGCTTTGAATTACAGCTAAGCACTTTGCTCAGATGGTGTGTTTTCATTGGAGCGAGTGGCAGTTTGGATGAAGAATGTTTTGTTTTTTTTTTTTTGTAGAGTAGCACAGTGATAGCCTGGAAATATGTGAACAGTTGTGAATTTCAGATTGCTGGTGGCTCTGTGTGGTGGGGTGAACTGGTGGCCTCTGTGCAGGTTTTACTGGATGGATATTTACTGTGCCAAATGGGATTCATAGGTAAAGGCTGAAGTGGGAGACCGAGACTGCCATGCACTGAAACTTGCTGCGGGCAGTGCCATGGAAACTCCGGTTGCTGCTGTCCTCACGCTTTGTGCATTTAGTGTTAACTTTGGCTGGCTTCAGACAAGCTGATCACTCTTGTTACATGGCTACAGAGATCTCCCTAGGAGTAAAACATGCTTATCTCCTTGCTACTGATAGTATTTCAGTTGAGAAAAGACTTGTGAGCCTAGGAGCATCCTTCCTCTAGGAAACTCCTGTCACTTTTGTGTCTTTGATTTTTTTTGTTTCAATTTTTAACTGAGTACTTGTCATATTATAGATGTTCTCTTTCTTCTTGCCAGAAGAATATGTTGCTGTAGTCAGTCAAACTCTTGTCGGTGTGCAAAGGTCTAACAGCAAACAAGCTACTTCAGCAGGCTGTGCTTGATTTTTAAAGCTTTTTAAATACAAGTGGGAAGGGACATAATAAGCCATTATCATCTCCTCTAGGTGAGACTTGAATTTCCAAATAGTGGATGGATGGATGTAACCTTACACCTTATGACACGGTCCCTGAGAGAGACCGTGGCAGCTCTAGTTGCTTTGTGCTGCAGCCTTAGAGCAAGTTTACAAGCTGTCCATCTCTTCTTTTTTTAAATCAATATACCCATCTTTGTAGATCTCCAACACCAAGTGAGTGGCAGACCCACTGGAGTTATGCTTGTTGGAAATAACACTTCTTAGGGGAACTAACATGCTCAAATAAAAGCACCCTTTTTCATGAGTAGCGTTGGTTTTCCTCTGTGCCATACGTCATATGATGATTTAATTCTGTGTAGAATTTAAAGGTCTTAAGATAAAGATAAGGACTGAATTCTCCCCTCGCCAAATGTAGCTTGTGGTTTTGGGGTGTCAGTGCTGACATAATGTAAGAGTAGTGGAGAGATATGTCTGAGTGCCATCATGGTATAAATCGTGTTAAAGGTTTGGGTGATAATGCTCTAAACATTGACAGCTTCTAACAGTCCTGGCCTGTACACTTAGCAGGATGCTGTGCACATACTGTTCTCCAGTTGGGCATTGAAATGCTAATGCTTCCAGCCTTGTGCTTGACGCTCTGCAGCTCCAGCTCCATCCCTAGCATATTTGCCCTCCCTCCCCTTTTCTGGCTCTGCTGTTACTCCCTGTAAGAACAGATCCCAGAGCAGCTATATCTGCTTTCTGCAAGCTTGTATTTTCATGTGCTAAAATGTATTTAAAGATTATCCTTTAAATTTTTTTGTCTGTTTATCTGTTTATGTAATCCTGGGTGGAGTCTGGGTAGGACTGCTCAGACCTAACTAGTAAGCTGTTGTTACAAAGCTGAAGCTTGCCTGGTGCAGCTCTTGCCTGTGCCGCCCCCCACCTCCTCCAAGAATCCAGTTTATTGTCATTGCTGAAGTGCTGGGTGACTCTATTTAGAGACACTTCTGAGGCATCACATGG